TATAAACACATTGAAACAAATAAAACTCACGTAATTCCAGTATTTGAAATTAATCGCGAAATGATTAAGATTTGTTATAATTCCACAATTAACTTGGTAGATTAGCGTCGAATAAAAAAGAGAGAGAGAGAAAGAAATTTATGGGAGAAATATGTATGAGAAAAATGTATGCAAACCCCGATGTGTGATATGCACAGTTTTGTACGTTACGATTAAGTAGAGTGAAAACGCGGTGGATAATCGATAAAAACGGCCTATGCCTAGCAGGCAGCTGTAGCGAAATGTCAGCGGATCGGATAGTAGGATAGGCGGTAGGTTCATCCGCGATCAGATGGAAATATTGATCTAAGATAAGAAGGATACCCGCGTACGTTTTTCTCATATGCATCTTTAATGAGCTACATTCTTCATTTCAGTTATCGTCGTATAATTAAACGTGCATGTTGGAAGATAAAGTCAAAAATGAAATGACTTAAGAGTGTGTGTGTGTGTGTATTGCGTACGCGTCTATAGAATTAAGCGGATTTTATCAAAATCAACGAACGTACTTGCGCGGTAGCGGCGACAACGGCGGCGATGACGACAACGACGACAACGACGACAACGACGACGATGACAACGCTCGCGCACTAAGCAATAAGACACTGCTTGAATGTCAGCGATTTAAAAACAGGGACGTTGATTACTGTGCCGACAATCTCAATTTTACTTCAATACACCACGAGAAAATGTTTCAGCGGTACTAATTCGATCTCGTGATATTAGAAATTTTCGAGAATATCCATCCCCTTCAGTGAAGAATGGCAGAGTCTCACTCAGGACTCAAGTACGCGACTACACTATCGTGGAAGACGTGGAATTCGGAACAATCCAACAATGTGGGATGTGCACGTTACCACGACACGGATGTGTATTATCAATGCTCCGTATGTAACGAGGCTAATTGAGGCTAACGATAACGATGCTGTCGCGTGCGTAAGCACGCATATATCCACATATATCAGCGATCGTACGCTAAAAAAAAGCGGAAAGACAATTTCATCATCAACTTCATCGTGAACTCTGAGGACGAGCGACTCCATCCTAGAACCGGCGCTTTTACCCGGCAATTAATTCGATTATGCTCACCTTCCATCCGGCATTTTCCACCGATTGGCTCCGTTCGCAACGTCGATGTGGCCTGCGATTTCAAAATTTCGTAGACGACAATAGCTGCCTAGATTGTGTCGGGAACTCGTCGCAGAAAGGCAAAAGAGTCGCGGCACGAAATCTTGCGAGTAAGTGTAAACAATTGGATTTTGCATATTATACGATGTGGTTTAACTTTTTCGGAATACAAGTTTATGGTGTAAAAGCATCACTGACACTTGTGTCTTCTTACAGCAAAAATTAACAACGACGTAACGAACCGTCAGTAATTTTTTTTCTTTTGACGACAACGCGACAATGCCTCTCCCAAATATTTTGAGAAAAGCAAGCAACTATATCCTTGGCGAGTGCGGCCAGGACAATCGACGTGTCATTTATCAAGACGGCGAAGCATTATTCTGCAAAAATAACGTCTGCGTGCATCCCCCTACATTAATGAGACAACACGCCGACGTGGTGCATCATCCTGGATACATGACTATAACTTGCAAATTGAACAAGAATTCGAATTTGCCGACCCTGCACCTAAGTTGGATACCCAACAGCACATTGCGCAAGCATCCTACCGCGTTGGAAAATCTGAGTGCTAGAAATGCTACCGCGCGTCGAGACGACGATCCAATCTGCCCGCGTTCCCGAATCCCCCCCGAGAAGACACGCGATACGCTCAACATTTCGGGCGTGAGGCAGGAGCTCGAGAACGAGAACGAGAACGAGAATGAAAATGAAAATGAAAATGAAAATGATACCGAGAATGATAACGGAAATGGGAAAGTAGACGTGTGCTTGGAGGCAAAGGAGCCTGTCAACTGCGGAGACTGCGAACGTGTTTGTTCCGGTTCCGGCTATCATCGTTACGGCCATGACTTTCTACGTCGTCGAGATCCAAGCACGACAATCAATCGCGATGACGAAAATGTCAAAACTATTGAGACCGAGAATCCGAATTCGGCGGATTCGGTGGATTCGAGCAACGAAAAGAATGAGGATTTAAAAGAACGGGACTTGAATGAAATCGATGCAAGGAGCATCGATGAGGAACCTGCACGCTTCTCGTTCCGTGACGATGTAAGTGTTAAGAGTCGCAGCTTATCATTAACATCAACGTGCAGTTTGTCAATCTCGATACCTATCGATGGTACGTAGAAAAGATGCTTGGATGTAATCTGACGCGCGCATTACTCTCTCTGTTTCTCTCTCTCGTATAATTAACGATACTAGCGATGACGTTGTTTCTGCAGCGGAGGAAATGCCTTCGTGGATGAGGTCTCCAGAACTTCTAGCGCTACAACACAATCTTGTTTTTCCCGAGAGCGCGACCGCATCGCCTGTGACATTGCGTAGAGCACATCGATGCAGAAGATTCTCGGTGGATCTCGGTGAGATGCGATCCTTGAGGCTATTTTTCGCCGATCCTGCTTGCACCTGTGGTCAATTGGTCGTGGCGAGTAGGGAAAGCCAATATAAGATCTTGCATTTCCATCATGGCGGTTTGGACCGGCTAGCCGCCACTCTACATCAATGGCATCAATTGCTTTATCCACGCTTAAATATGGATACGGAAGAGACTCTGCCGTACAGGTATACTTCTCAGGCATAATTAAATTAGAATATAAAATTGCAAATTTCTCTGTCGAATATATAATAATATGTCATTATAATTATCACACTTGACATACTATATTAATACGACTGTCATGCATTGCACAGGCATTTCATGGTATGCCGGCCGGAAGTAAGTCGAGATGAGCTGCATCCCGAGGAAGGTCAAGTACCGATGATCACATCGCTAGCTTGGAAAGATTTATTGAATGAACGGGGCCAGGTAGAGGATGACCTCGCTCTTCGTAAGGGAATATTTTTCGGAGGTTTGGAACCGGCGCTACGAAAGATTGTTTGGCCTTTCCTGCTGCACTGTTATTCTTATCAAAGCACGTATGAGGATAGAGAGCAAATCGATGCCATTAGGCGGCAAGAGTACGAAGAGATACAGAAACGCAGACTGAGCATGAATCCGGAGCAAGCCGAGCGTTTCTGGCGAAACGTGGTGTGTATAGTAGAGAAAGATGTTGTCCGCACGGATAGAGCTAATCCATATTACGCCGGTGAGGGTAATCCCAACATCGAAGTAATGAAGTGAGTTCATCGAAACAAGTTACTCAGATACTTTTAAAAATCTCTTCCTTTCTCTTTTCTCCCATCTCCGAATTTACATGTACTTCTACTATTGCATATCATATTGTGTGACTTGTTTCTATCTCCTCTTTTACTTTCGCAGGAACATTTTACTCAACTACGCGGTATATAATTGCCGCCTGGGTTACACTCAAGGAATGTCCGATCTCTTAGCACCGTTATTAGCTGAACTCAATTCCGAAATCGAGGCCTTCTGGTGTTTTGCCGGTTTAATGCAAAGATCGGTAGCCGTGTGCACTCCGACCGATACAGATATGGACCGAAATCTATGCTATCTAAGAGAATTAGTAAGAATCATGGTACCAGATTTTTATGCGCATCTTCAAAAGCACGCGGATGCCTTAGAACTTCTATTTTGTCATCGATGGATACTCTTGTACGTACAATTCTGTCCTGTGCATATATATGTAGCTATATATACAAAAAAATCCCTGTATATATCGTAAACGTAACAGAAGAAACTATATACTTATAGATTTCACTTATTGATATATATATATATATATATATATATATATATATATATAGAGCTCGCATAATTTTCTCCTTATTTCACTTTATTTCATTCCTCATTGCAGATGCTTGAAAAGAGAATTTCCAACCGAGATAGCGTTAGTCATGTGGGAAGCTTGCTGGGTCAATTATTTAACAGATCATTTCCACTTATTTCTTTGCCTCGCTATAATGTGCGTTTACGCGGACGACGTGATCGCCCAAGATCTCCGAACAGACGAAATGTTGCTGCATTTCAGTTCACTGGCCATGTACATGGACGGCAACATTATACTTCGAAAGGCACGAGGTCTGCTTCACCATTTCCGTCAACTTGTGCGCTTACCTTGCACATTAGCCGGACTATGCCGACAATGTGGTCCAGGAATGTGGGACAGCGCGCACGATCCAGTAATAGAGTGCATAGGTCACGAGGATACGCACTGTCCCTATTTAAATAATTATGAATAACTGTCTAATTTAGGAAGAAGAAGAAGAAGAAGAAGAAGAAGAAGAAGAAGAAGAAGAAGAAGAAGAGAGCTCATCAGTATTACTTGACGCTTATAGATTTAACTCTCGTTTCAAATGATTAGATAATTATTACAAATAAGTGCTTGTTCTCTCTACACGGATTTTTCTTTATAACAAACTTTGATTAGTAAAGATCTATCTTCTGCAAACATTAATATTTACAAAATATATATCGAATCTAGCCATTATGCTCTCTAAATCTATACGCGAATGAATCTATTCAGTTACATCACACACGCCAGACGATACGTGATACGTATCTTTATTCTTTACTAACAAACAGCACTATTTGAATTGACCAAAAAAAAGTAAAAAGTAAGAATGTATCACGCATATTAATCATCTATGTTATACGTTACACATTATATTGATATCTCGATTTAAGCGAATGCCGAAACACAAAGACATATCTGAAAATTCAATTTCAAATCAAGTTCACTGTCAGTTAAAAAATAAACTTACGAGACTCGACAACGTTGTATATCAATAGATAAATATCTGCAGTATTCGCAACGTTAAAGACTGACGAATGAAAGAAAAGAATAACTAGTATGTACTACAAGCTAATGTCCGAATGTACCCAGCTGGGGTAGAGAGATATTCGTTATCTAATCTCACTCCGATACCCCAGTTAATTTAATCTAGTAGGAACTCGTCCGCTAGAAACCAAAAGAAGAAATCAAATCGTACAAGTACACGAAAATGCTATTGTAAAAATATACCCGATTCGAGCAGGGTATAAACTATAAATTAATAACATATATATGTTCACTGCAAAGTGTTCACTTTACGTTCGTGTATATATATATATGTATATAATACATTCTCGTGCGCGTATGCAGTAATTTCACATACGTAAAAAAAACAGCGTAAAACTTTTCCAGTTTAAAATGCGTAACAAAATTTCACTTATTAAAAACTAATTAAATGTGATGTTTTGCTAAGCGCACAGTTGCACACTATGCCACTGTTTTATTTTTATGAAATTTATTCGAAAGCAAATACAAAATTATTATGATTAAACTAATTTCACCGAGTAACTAAACGATAATATACCAATTTGTACTTTGTGTTTATTATAATAATGATTATTATAGTTCAGTGTCACACAGATATACGTCAAAATAAATAAAAAATTGCTTTATAATATTATCAACTTTACAGATACTGTGCCTATGGAACAAAGGCAGTTTGTAATGCATTCCACGCTAATTCACTTGATCAGGGATGAAAATAGCTTTAATCGTGTTTTTTTTTTTCGTGCTTTCATCTAGTATTGTTAAAATCTTCAAGAAAAATCTATCTGTTAAAATCTATTTCATGCAGATGTCAGTTTGAAATATAAGAACATAGAAATGTATGTGCGCTCACGCGTACACACATACACACACACACACACACACACACATCCAAGTACAAATAAATAGAAGGACTTGTATAACCAATTATTTATTATTATCCGTTTCAATTGCTTTTGGAATATGTATACACATATACATACGCTTGCGGAGGTGCGTATATAAGTGCATATGCACATACCTGCAATATTTATTGCATGCTACATTTGCACAGGTACACCAATGTGACGGACATGCTGCAAATATATATATATATATATTTTTTTTTTGGCAGTTTCATACGTATCTTGTACAAAAATACAATCTCGAAAAGAACATTATCGTAATATCATACATTTGCTTGCCACCATTATCACATATGCTAACATTATTTTATTATAAATACATAAACAAGAATTATTAGCATTAGCATATAAAAAATTAAAAAAAAAAAGTATAAATACAATGACGGAGATTCGTTAGAATTTCCCTGTAATAAGAAAATCACGCATATCTGTCCCGGAACAACTCTAGAAAAATAAAATATACAAAATTTTTTTTCTATAGATTTCTATAGATTACGTTGTTACATCTCCCAAAACTTATCGATATATATTTGACTTGTACATGACAAACGACGTTTTTGCCAAAGTATTGTCGGTTTGTACGTACGTGTAAGCATATCCTGCCACAAATAAGAATATCGCCTTACTTATCAAGATATCCCGTGTTGAAGAATTTCACAAATAATTTCGCGAATTTCAGTCACGTTGCACGTAGATCGTACTGTAACAATCATCGCTCTTATTCCGTGCCCATATAGGTATATCACTTTAGTCATCGTCATTCAGTCCAAGTGCTAAATGCCTATACCAATATCGATTGATTGTTGTTTCGATAATTCTGTGATATCCACATTTTTGCTGTTGATAAATTTTGAAATATATCAATTCTAGATACATAATTGACTTTCGTAAACATCCTGCGTCTCTATGAGATTACACAGAGGTTCTCGCATGAACATCAAGAGTTCTCTCTTTTGATTATGATGTAAATAATTTTCATTTTGTTATTGACTGATCCAAGATTGCAAATGTATTTGTATGAAATTGACAGACACTAAAATCATACAAGTAATAGCCCATACTACGACGAAAATTAACCAATACCTGCCCGAAAAAGGGCTTGCGAATTTGTTGATAACTCCGAGGCCGATGATCTTGTTAGTCTTTTGCCTGGCATAATAAACCAAGAATGTAGGTATTAAATACTGTATTCCTGCTCCAGCGTACGAGCCTGTGATACCAACTAACATCGACAGATCTTTGGTAGTCATCGCGATCAAGTACGGTGGTATTACTGCCAAGATGGGGAAGACAAGTTTCTGAAGACATAAATTATAAGATGTATCCTCTTTTAAAAAGAGCGATTGCAAATTATTTCGAAGGGTAATTGCTATAATAGGAAAACTGGTACTCAAAGTGAATACTGGAAAAAGGGCTAAGAAATACTCCATAAGAAGCATAAAAATATTGTCGCTCTTGGAACAATCGTCCAAACCACGTGGTCCAAAATCCAAAGTATAAAGATCATCCAAACGCTCAAAGGCGAAGATGCCAGTTAGAGCCAATAATAAATAAAAGAGAGCGATTAGAGTGTAATCGAGAGCTAGAAATCGATTTAGTTTAGACTTATTCGCTACTGGTGCAACCAAGGCCGGTAACGAATGATGGCACATAAAGGAGTAAACGCAAGCACCGAAAAGACTGGGAATTCCTAAAATTAATTTTAAACGATTAACATAGTATTATTTGCATAGACTTATTCGCTTATAATTATAATTTGTATCTAATGGCACACTAATCTCTTCAGCAATCGTGTGCAAATTGATGTATCTCATTAATCAATTTTCCAACTTACCGGCTAAACTCGCAATAGGTGGATCGCCACGTGGACCGTGTATAAAAAGATTTTTTAAAGCGTACACGATCATTATGATGAATGCGAGCCACCGCATTATCGAAGTTAGTAGTTGAAGATACTTGGTCTTTTGGACATTGAAAAATACAAATGGACCCAATGATAATACGAACATGGTCTAAAAATAGAAATAATGCAACAATCATTATCGAGCGCGATCGAGTTTAACACTTTTATCTCGGCAAAATTAAAAGCGCCAAAATGTGCGCGCGCATGAATATTAGAATGCAAGTGAATATTAGCAGCAAAAAGCAGTGTGAAATCTTACAAATGTGATGAGATTATGGTGACTAGACGTACCAGAAATATTCTATATGCATCCAGTCGATTAAACATGGTACCTTCCCAGCAAAGTTCAGTATCTGGTATGGTGTCATTGCACGTAAGATTTTTTGGCAAATAAGTGCAGGCGACATCTGCTAATGACTTTGCGACTGCCGTACCATAAATGCTTAAATCTCCATATAGATATACGGCGAAACACAAATAGAATAGAGTAGTGCCAAATCTATTGAAAAAGATAGATGCCATTTGTCCCATCTCTATTTTATCGCGAATCACATAATATCTACAAGTATCCGAACGATCTGGACTGGTCGAAAGAGCAGCAGCTACCAGTGGAGTATCCTCAGAATCTGAATTGGAAGGACCAGATTCACCTGTTGTTTGTAAGACCTGAAAAGTATTTGTTTGCAATTGTATTACAACGTGTGTGTATATATATGCTGCTGTAACATTGTACGTATCATTGCAGCTAATCAAATATGCTGATGTGTCTCTAGCCCCTAGCCATCGTCGTTACCTTGCTATCTAATCCAATAAGTATCTAACTCGTAAATATTTGTAGAATATTTATCTGATTTGTATACTCGCGTGTAAATTATTCTTTGCCTGACAAAAACTAAACAAGTCTCAAAAACACTTACACGTTTTCGCTGCTGGTTATGCCTCCACATAACAATGGCATTGGCGGATGCCATTGCTTCTATGACAAATGTAACCGTGACAAAACTATGCAAAAGAAGAAATTCAATGAGACGAAACAAGTTTAGATCTATGGAAACGATATAAAAAGTTGTTTCTACATACCTAATGAACGCTAACACTAAAATGACACTTAATCCAAGTGCCCATCCTGCTTGACTAAATACGGCGGGTAACGTCAAAGCGCCTGTTCCAACGATGAGATTGAAGATATACACGAGCCCAACCTACGATGGAGATCTCTTTAAGCGAATTCAGTTAAATCCACTATATTTACTGACGGACTGACTGTAACTGACTGTGAGTATTGATTGTGAGGCTGAGAGGTTAGGTAAACGCGCCATGCCATCATATGTCGATGCGACACATAAAGCCAAATCAAGTCTGCCTTTTCCTTACCCATGTTGGATACTGATCGCTAACGTTCTGCTCGGGCATCTCTCTCGAGTCGAGCCAGCGTTAAATTTACAAAACGTATCTAATTGTGAGTCTGCACTCTGCAGAGATGATGTGTTGCGTCGCGTCGCCGTCGTCGCGTCGTTACTCTTGTCTCGTTTCGACTTTCGTCTCGTCTTGCTCGTGCAAGTCGCTGATAAACACTGATGATCAGCAACCTATCCTATCGTTTTGTACTTTTCCGACAACTGTATCGATAAAATGTTGAAACCCACGTATGTACTTCATTCTCGTTCAAATCACAAGTAAAAATATGTATGCTGAGAAAGAGAATGGAAAATGCGAATAAGATGTGGGTAGACAATATAATGCGTTTTTCTTGCGTGTGGTATGCATTTAACTAGTTTTTCTTTTTCTTTCAAATCGAAGATTTAAACTTGAACTGACTTTTCATTGCAAAGCAAGCACGGATGTCCAATCATCGACAAATATTCCACAGTGAAATAAAGGAAATATATCAAACACATCGTTAACGAACAATATTGCTACATCAATCGTGATGCGCCTATATTTTCGTTCAAAACTTAAATAGATAACTAAATAATCACATTCCGCATTTTCATAACTTTTCGCTTTATCTACTTCACATGCCCACAGCCCCCACACAATCCTCTTTAGACTTGTCTCTCATTCTTTCTTTTTTTCGTTAAATTAATTCTAGAATTCAGGAGTTTGATAATTTAGAAACCAATCCCTCTTCCTCTCTCTCGGCTCATTCATATAATTCACTTAGTGTCTCAATCTCCCCAAAAAAGAATCCTTTATGATTTTTCCGCGATTAATTTGAGAATAATCTTTGACAAAAAATATCTTTCAGAAGAAAATAACTTTCGAGTTACAAGCAATTGGAAAAGAAAAAGATTGAAATTCAATCATCTGCGCGTTACGATTGCAAAAGACAAGTGCTTCGACAATATAAAAAAAGTCGCAAAAAGATCGGCGTAAACAAAATACCTACGGAATAATATGAAACAAATTTATATGATGAGCAGTTTTACTAGCCACGTGAACGTTTAATTCTTGCTTCAATTCTGGAAGAAAAATGATAATCGAGATGTGTAGCGATAAAAGATGGGAACAATTTAAAGACACAAATCACAACCGTGTTTTTCAGACTTTTTTATTTTATAATCCCATAAGTCTAAAGTAGTCTTTAAGATGTGTACGTGAATGGTCTTGCGCAATACAATGGGAATAAATTATAATACTTTGGCTACGCTTACGGGGTCGAAACCGTGCCTTTCTTTTTTTCCATTTGTTTGAGCGATCATTGTGGTAGAATTTTTCCAGATCAGCGGTTTATCAGCCCCCATCGTGTAAAAAAGAAAAAAAGAAAGAAGACAAAAAAAAGACCATCTTTTCCCTCAACAATAGGCGAATTGTAATAGAAAACAAAATAAACAGGTGAGAAGAGGCTTGTCTCTCTATCTCTCTGCGCGCGGAATAACGTACAACGTATGTTGAGGCATGTTTTGACGCAAGCATCTCTTAAAAATACCGCACATTGATCGGAATGCATTGATCGACGTTGATTGCCATCGTGTGTGTGTGTGTATGTGTATGTGCCGAACTCTGCCGTCTCTGTCTACAGAAAGAGTAACACAGACAGGGTTTTTTCCCGCGACAGAAACCTCCGAGTTATCCGCGTGAACGTTTCTTGCTCGAATTCTCGAAGAAAAATGGCAATCGAGGTTTACGCGTACGACATTTATGGGTAGGGGAAGAAATGCCGAGTCTAACAGAAAAGAAGCGTTTTGTTCTCACGTTGAGAGAAGGATGTCTCGCGAGGAATGTTTAGCTAAATGCTACCGTAGACACAAGTTATTCAAATATATAATACAAAGGACTCGATATAAGACAAGGTAGAAAAAGGTATTCGGGAATCGGGGCACATGTTTAAGATTGTTATATCGAATCGATGAAAAACGATAGAAAATGGTCGTGTTTAAACGAGCAAGAACGAGCCGTCGATTTATTTTGTTTGGATTGCCGCCGAGACCGAGGAACAATCGCGGGAGGAGGACGATACATTATAAGCTCCTCTCTCTTTTTCTTTCTCTCTCTCTCTCTCTCTCTCAACTCTCCTCTCGTTTAATCGGAGACGCTTACACCTCACCCGCGTATCTTAAAACACGTATATCCGAATTGAAAGAAGCTACCTGTGCCCCGGAGGAACCAAAGGGCAATCGTCGCGGAAGTTGATGTTACGTCCGCCTGCGAAACGAGACAAAAGCCCCTCTCTCTCTCATTTCTCGAAAGTCTCAGGGATCGGGGAATGATGATAATATGCGATCAAAAACGCGTTTAGAAGCACTTCCTGTGGACGATGGAAGGTCCGGACTCGTCATACTCCTGCTTTGAGATCCACATCTGTTGGAAGGTGGAGAGCGACGCGAGAATCGATCCACCGATCCATACGGAGTATTTCCTCTCGGGTGGAGCAATAATCTTAATCTTCATAGTAGATGGAGCTAAGGCAGTGATCTCTTTCTGCATCCTGTCGGCTATGCCAGGGTACATGGTGGTACCGCCGGACAGAACAGTATTGGCGTACAGGTCCTTGCGGATGTCAACGTCGCACTTCATGATCGAATTGTACGTGGTCTCGTGAATGCCGCAAGCTTCCATGCCTAGGAACGAAGGTTGGAAAAGGGCCTCGGGGCAACGGAATCGTTCGTTACCTATGGTGATGACCTGACCGTCGGGAAGCTCATAGCTCTTCTCTAAACTGGAGGAAGAGGCCGCCGTGGCCATTTCCTGCTCAAAGTCCAGCGCAACATAGCAAAGTTTCTCCTTAATGTCACGAACGATTTCTCGTTCGGCTGTAGTTGTGAAGGAATATCCCCTCTCCGTGAGAATCTTCATAAGATAGTCTGTTAAATCGCGGCCGGCCAGATCCAAACGGAGAATAGCATGCGGCAAGGCATATCCCTCGTAAATCGGTACGGTATGAGAAACGCCATCGCCTGAATCCAGTACGATACCGGTGGTACGACCAGAAGCGTATAGCGAGAGTACAGCCTGGATCGCCACGTACATAGCGGGAGTGTTGAACGTCTCGAACATGATCTGTGTCATCTTTTCACGATTAGCCTTAGGATTCAAGGGTGCCTCGGTAAGAAGAACGGGATGTTCCTCCGGAGCTACTCGCAGTTCATTATAGAACGTGTGATGCCAGATCTTCTCCATGTCGTCCCAGTTGGTAACAATGCCGTGCTCGATTGGGTATTTGAGCGTTAGGATACCCCTCTTGGATTGGGCCTCGTCACCGACGTAAGAATCCTTCTGTCCCATACCAACCATGACACCCTGGTGGCGTGGCCTGCCGACAATCGAGGGAAAGACGGCGCGAGGAGCGTCATCCCCGGCGAAGCCAGCCTTGCACATACCGGATCCATTGTCGACTACGAGCGCGGCAACCTCTTCGTCGCACATGTTTGCTCTCTTGATTTATCTGCAAAAGGACAAATTACAATTAGAGAGAAAATATTTTCGTACATTATCAATAAATGCTGCGTTCAGATTCTCCACCTGGATGCACCCAGATATCATTTTATCCTTCGTTGTTCAACGAATGTTAAACAACAGATAGAATGATACCCAGGTACACCCAGACGGGGAATCCGAACGCAGCCATATGTAATAAAATTTAAATTTAAATATGCCTTAAAATTTTATCTATTCTTTTGGTCATTTCATCGCGTGTCCAAGGTATTTCCAATAATCGAATGACAAGTATAATTTCAAATTATCACTTTCCTAAAGAGTTGTTGAGAAACTCATTCGTTGGAGTACTAAAATACTGAAAGTGCATATCGATAAATATCCTATTAACCGGTATTCGCTCTCGAAATACATTTAAGATGGCGTCAAGGAAACACGTAATCGGCACGCTTCATAAGATTTAAATGATTCGATATGATATTCAAGGTGTGTCAGACACATTTAGAGGTAAACGATGCATTTGATGCGTACGTTTGTTGAGAATACAGTAATCAAAGATCAACGCGGTCAAATCCTTCAAGCAGATGCGAAATCAACGTTATCGTTAATTATCGGAACCGCACCCTGCGCCCTGACCTGCCCCGCCCCGCTTCGCCGCGCCGCACCGCACCTCACCTCACCTCACCTCGCCTCATCTCGCCTAGCCTCACTCGCCCCGCCCCGCCCTATCAAACCGGTCTCACATCATTTCGCCTCTTTCACACCCGATGACGATGAATGGCAAACGCGATCTATGTCTATCTCTCGATCGCGAATACATCTTTCAACTTTGATAAAATTTAACGAATTAGCGCGCAAACTGTCGTTGCATTAGGCGTAATGGTACAAGATCTCATGCGCACATTCTTGGATTTTCTTTCGCGACGCGTTTTTACGAAAAAGTGTTAGCGACCTAATCGTCATACCAATCGTCGTGTTATATTCGCGAATAACGTTTTTCACATTAAAACACTTTTGATGCGCTTGCGCGCACCACTCAATCATAAAATGCACATTCACCACCTTATCGTTAGTTTGCACTTCTTTTTTATGATAGCATTTTATGACATCCGGCATATTATTTGTCGCCGCGCAGTGCACTTTTTTAATTCGAATCCTTCCCTTCTTCCCGCTACAAGCAAAGAATATTAAGATGTCAATCCTAAATGTCGCGTCCTATCGCAATCGCGATCGTTACACTTTGCGTAGTACTTACGTTTCGTAAAAAATTCAAGTTATGTACAAGTTTTAAGTAGCGACACTGCCGCACCGTCAACCGACCCAGCACCGAACACAGAGTGTAACCAACGACGTCGGTTCACGGTGTATTATATGAACAGATGCGTTGTTCCTCGACCCCACTGCTCGTCGCTCGGCCAGTAAGGGTGGGACACCCTCGACCAATCCTGGCTTTCTTTACCATATATGGAAGTACTCTGACACAGAGGGATTTCCTTTCCGCAGCTCCCCTCCTACTCCCTGATTGTCACTACCTCACCCCACTTCATCCGGTGCAACGCGGCGCGATGACGACGACACGATGACAAGCCGGTCGGTTCCATGGTATATCAACCGGTGTGAGTCTGTATCCGCTAACTGACTATCAAATTTTCCGATCGAATCGATTGCAAGATCGAGAATCAACTAGCTCGGTCGGCCGATTGTATGTTTCGCTTGGTCGGCAATTTCGCCGAGCTAATTCGCGCAAAACCGCTAATTCGTTATTTACGACCCAGGAAACGCAATCATCCTGAAAAGATTCTCAGCGATTCGATACACTTTTTTCGAGCACTTGAATCAAGTCTCGTCAGTCACGTACGATTACGCGTATTATGTTACCGAAAAGCGGAAGCGCGTCGTAGGTTAGTAACGCGCTACGCGTCGTTGCTATTAATACGACATCGCATCGTGCCACGGCCACCTGCTTCACTGCCTGTGACGTTATACGTTATACGCTACAACCACTTGATATCGACAACCTGTCGGCCGTCTCGACGCTACGCGGCAATGTCTCGTGCCGCGATTCGTAGACGAGAAAGCACGACGCATTTGAAAGATCCAAGAAAAGAATCTAGATTAGATCGCATACCCATTTTTCAAAAAGACATTCTCTATCTCTGTCTGTATCAAGACTAAATGTTACGGCATTGAGAACGCGACTCTGGCAGTTCGCGTTGAAAGAAAATAAAACGAGCGTACGTGATGTGCGTGACTGGCTGTTACTTACCTTTTTCTTTCTTTCTCACGCCGTTAAACGCTGTTTGCGAGCAATGGAATCAAATACGGACGAGAGTGCTAATCGGCCAGCGGCAACAGAACGAACACCGTGCAGCACCGCGAACGCTATGAGCAAGATCGTCCGGCGGGACAACCGCGAGGCGAGCCGGTATCACGCGCGCCACTTCACTCCGCACCGCGCCGCGCCACCTCACCTCACCTCACCTCACCGCACCTCACTTCACCTCGCCTCGCCTCGTACACGTCACGTTGCATGGACTTGTCCAAAGGTGTGGTCGGCATGCAATGTCCAACATTTTTATCGACTCTCCATTTTCTAAAATCTAAATCTAAAATTGTCCTTTTGCGTCTATATTTTTTCAGAGCATAAGACTAGCGATTACGCGAGAAGTAATCGAATCTATTTAACGTGCCCAAAAAGAAAAGAAAAACGACCCGCTGTCGTATTTATCGTTCGATCGCGTCTCGTTACATATATACCGATCTACCGAAATACCCCTTGCCGTGGAATAGACTCGTCCATCCGACTTCTCCCACCGTACGGATTCACAGCTCTTGCCATATATGGGCATAAAACGAAAGCAACGTGCTGATTGGTCCGTTGGCCGGCTAGCGGCTAGATTCTCCAAATGCCGTTTCAAATCGTACGATACGAAGAGCATGTCTCTTGGAAGTATATACTAGCGTAAAGACTCGCTCTTGAAGATTAACCATTGCAACTACCTGCGAATTGCGAACATTCGTACGTCAGCGAAAGAATTTAAATATATATTCCCTTTAAATATTCCTGAATGGATTATATCAAAACACGCGCTTTACTCGTGTTTAAAGAGTTTAGAAAGAACGCGTCTTGCGTCCCCCGCGTTAACGATCTGCAGCCATACTTTGTAAATTTCCAAAGAGATAACGAATAAAAAAAATTGTCGAACAATCTTGGAATATTTCAAAGAATTAATCACTGTCCACGTTCGTGACGTTATGCCGCGTGTAACCACACATCCGCGAAAAAGGTTTGCTAAATTCTTTAGTTGAGTGAAGTACGCTTTCTAGTAGATGGATAATACAAACGTAAATCGAGATAAAATTGAAAGATTCAAGAAGCAAATATGTGAGGGAGATTTTTTCGTTTCTTTATTATCGTTTCTTTTCTATAAAAGAATGCTACATGAAAGGTGCTACGCGCTCAGCGGTAGGCAGAAGCAGCAGTAGATTCAAGGGCAGAATATGAGAGCGTTGCACTCTTTTGCCACGTCATACGACGCGACGTACGTACGTTTCAGGTCCTACGTTTTCAACTGTCGATATATTTAACACGTCGACTGATTGACATACGCAAATTACGGACAGACAGACACCTAACCGATGCGAAACTCTCCTGTCTAGCTACATACGTGAGACTCGTGAAAGAGCGAGAGAGGCAGAAAGAGAGAGAGAGAGAGAGAGAGACCCGCTTTAAAATCGATATACGCTATACGCTCCTTCGCTCGGAGCTGTCTCATATTTGTCTCACGGTCTCGCGCAGCATGATCGGCCACGTGATCAGCCACAACGGACGAAAAAACGGATATTCATCGGCGATAGATCGTCGAATTGTTATTAGATTTTTTAATATGCGTTTAATATTTGCGTACGTTTCCGATGATTTGCAGCCGCGCAGCCACGATCGCGTACTTCGAGGAACGCTGTTAATAATGTCCGATTACGCTCGCGAATCATTTAAAAACGTAACGGTTTCGTAATGCGATCGACGCCTGATACAACTGCTATGTATTAATTTAATCGAGCTGCTCAATGACGTGTAGCAGTAGCAGTAGTACGATGTGTCATATATACGTATAGATATCAAAATAGTCTCGTTCGATATCTCGATTAGTGTCTCTCTTAGAATAAAATAGTTAATCCTGTTACGTTCGCGCGTTCTAAAGACCCAATGACCTAAGATATCTTGACCTTGTCCACTATATAAGGTCTTGCGCCAAGGTAAGGTCTTGAAAGACTCACGTTAGGATCTCGAGTCGCGCGATGTTATATCGAGTCATCTGTATTTTCCTTAGCAAACGCGACATGCGTTAATCCGCGCAAATTATCGTTGTGATTGAAACGACTCACGATTAAGACACGTCATTTTGGATGAGTAAACGATCGAGATATAAATTCGAATTTAACAATTCGATGAATAAACTTGAAAAAGTGGCGACTTTCGGGATTCGGTGCGAGTAGCTGCAGCGATAGTTTGTGAGACTTTTTAATTTATTAAATAAGGTTTCCCGAAAGTGGCAGACTGTGAGTATTGCACTGGTATTGCGAAAGAACAACGTTAATTGTTTTGTTCCATCATCGCTGCTGTTTCGCAATGCTGCCAAAATGCGTACGCGGCGCGTATATGTACGAAACCTTGAATTACCGAGAAAAAGACAATAGAGCGAATGTTTTATTACAAAATATTTTTATTAGGAAATATTCAACAACAAAATATTTAAAACAACATCGATTATATGTACATTGCAGTTATCCATACAGTCCATAAAGGTGGCCAGTTTATTTTATCTTGCAAATTAACAGAGATAAATGTAAAACAATAAGTAGTATCAAATTAAATGATTTGAATTGAATGCATTCTATTGTGCAGCATAGTGATCACTTGTAAAAATTGTTGTTAGAGAACAAAAAAGCATACGTAACTTTTTCACGCTAACGCAAATATTTCGACATAATAAAAGTACTACCTATCACTGTGTAATGTTATCACAATAAAGAGTTCAATTCAAACCATTTAATTTGATATTATATTTATTACATTTATTTTCTTTAATCAAAGAGATAAAAAAGGATAGTCTGCACTTGTGGGATAGCCTATATGCCCTATATAATGCACAAGATTTTAATATGATTCTTAAACGATTTTATCCAACATAGTCTCGTAACAGTACCGCGTGGTACACTAATTGATTGATGCCATCGTTCGTATGTGCTACGCGAGAAATCTTAAGCGCACAATAATACTCGATTGCACTATATATCCGATAGGCTAACTTATTTCATATATGTAACAGCGAAAAATCTGATAATTGCTCCTATATATTCTCATACGCAATGTACCTACGCATGATTCGTTCGAACTCGAGAAAGATTATTTAACTAAACGAATGAATTTGGATCATAAATGGAAATTAGCGATTAAATATTATTATATGGTTGCTCGTAAGAGAAAGAATCAGCCACAATCACAGAGGCATCCCTTCATCTTTACAACATGACACATTCACATGGATTAGTCATCGTCAGTCCCACATCACCTCACGTGGCTCGTCTTGCGTCGCCTGGTATTGCGCGTCATGCGAGTGGAACGTTACGTCGAAATAACCGTTTTTCTCAAGAATTCATGCTTATATATTGTGTCATTAATACTGAAACTATTTAAGAATATTCTGAATCGTGGCGTGTCATTAACTAACGCTTTCTCTCGACAAACTTAAAAACAAGCTGTACCGAAAATGCGGATAAGAATATGCATATATGTATTACAGTTTCAATATTGTTATAAAATTTATATTTAGAAACAATCTAATTTTGTTCGCGATACAAGGATGCATGAGAGAAAGAGAGAGAGAGAGAGAGAGAGAGGGGGGTGTCTCTCAATTAATATTTCAAGTCTGATAGAGACATTCCAAGAGAATGAAACATAATTTCGTGCTTTTATTCATCGAGTAAATACACAATTATTCAAGTTTTAATAACGAGTGAATCGGAAATCCGCGTTTTTGACAATTAGTCGGGAACTGCAGAGAAACCGAGTCTTCGATTTTCATATGCATATATATGACATTTATCGATCGCAGTACGCATTAGATATCAAAATTAGAAAACGTATTATACATATAATCTTCTACATAAGTTTACGTTTCTTTTCATTTTACTTCACATTTGTCGTCATTTTTGTCATTTATTAAATAGAAGAAAGAAATACGTTACGCTAAAAATCACTAATTCACCTTCCTTGAGAGTACAAATTCCACAACATAATATCTCTTATTGTTAAATGACTTTTCAACGAACTTCTCATTACTCTCTCGCAAATACGAAAAAGTGGATTAGTACGGTTTAGACGGCGACGGTCGAAGGAGGCCATCAGGGAATCGACCCAGAAGAAAACCTGCTCCTGTCGTGACACCTGTCTCCCCGTTATACATACAAGCATTCCGAGAGGAATGCAAAACAATGATGTAAGGCGGCACACGAGTATTTCAATATCAATATATTGTGATTATTGTTTTTCGATTGGAAAAGTAATTGTCCTTATTACAAATAACATTACACACATGTGATTTTCATAAATTTGCAATGTTGAATTCGAAGGACGTCTTGTTCGAACTTTATGGTGTTTAGCGTTTGTACATGGAGAAATCGATGAGAAACGTCTGCAGTGGCACCACGCCCAAAGCGAGTAGCAAGGTGCACGGCCGAATGCGCGGATGAACCTTATGTTCATAGGGATTCATACAACAGCTCTATATTATATAGCATTGTCACGTATCGAAAATGACATACAAAGTAGCCTCTGCATCTCGTAACATTTATAAATGACTCAATCTAACGCAACGAGCTATCAAAGCTCGATCTCGAGCTTCCATAAAGAGGTCCTTGTTTTTTTCGTTCTAAATATCTAAATTATCTAACAAAGTATACCATTTGTAATAAAATCCAAATACAATTCACATAGATATAATAACGTATCTATGTGTACATAAATCTCGAAACATTATTTACCGTAAAAATTCAACAATATGTATAGTTTTACAATTTCTGATTTTTTAAATAAATAGTAGTCAATACTATAGAAGTCAGTGTTTTTCATGTTCTGCACAATAATTTTTACCCTTTTTACCTAAATCTTCTCTTTTCACATTAATGTGACAAGAAACAATAATAGAGTGATGAGAAACTTATTTCGTTTCCCACATCATTGAGGAGAAATTGGTCGCGCCAATAAAGTCAGTGACTTGGTGGCTTGGTTTAATTAGCCTGAGACGACGGCGAGATATGTTTTCACGGTTTCAGAAATCAAGGTCATACACGCACGTATGTTTCACAAGGTTGACTTGAATAGCGCGTCGCGTACGTGAACGCAAGCGTACCTATCTTTGCTTTGACTCCTCCCCCACCCTCTCTCTCTCTCTCTC